GAATTTATTATTTTTTAATAAGCTTCGGAGGAGGGTGGGATTAAATAAGTTTTTTACTTCTTCCTGTTCCTTTTCAAATACGTTAATTTTGTTTTCGTTTTTCATCATTTTTTGTTTTGTTTTGTTCTCTACACATGTTTGAACYAAACTAAACTAACTAACTGATCTCAGGCAGACACAGGAATCATAAAACATGTTGAGATCATTTTGAACAAACCACACATTTCCAGTGTTTTGTGTGTTTTTTGTCTTGTGTGTTTTGTGTGTCGTCACTCACGGAAACATTCCTGTGAACTGGGAGATGAACTTCATCTTTCTGCCGCAGGGGAAGTGCACCATCTTCCTGCAGCTCGTCACGTTGCAGCCGACACACGCGCCCTTCCTCTTACAGCCACAGCAGACCTGGGTCACACAGCAGGATCGGCTCAGACCAGACACCAGAACCACCTCCCACCACAGACCCGAACACAGACCGCCTGGACTCAGACGTCACAAAGACTCACCAGTCGAGACGACCTTCGGCTCTCCTTCAAGATGTCTTTGTCCAGGAAGCCGAAGATGCCCTCGTCTTCCTCTCCTTGCTGGTAAACTCCACAGGACGTCAGCTGGACATCATCACACAGTCAAATCCAGTGAAAACACCTGAACTTTGTTCTTTCACTCAAACACGTTCAGCAAACTGATTTTACTTATTGAAGAGAAAAATCAGCTGCAGCTGTTTGGAGGTTTTTATTATTCAATCAAAAGAATTCAGTCCAAACGTTTTCGCAAAACAGAAACTTTTTCTCACATCAGAGTTTTGGTTGAACTCTGAAAACATGAACATCCTGGRCGGGGCCTGAGGAGGAGCTACGTAMGACCTGTCCCTATTGGTTAGTGTGGACAGAAGTGATTTCCTGATGAACCTGCTTCAAATCTAATCAATACATTAAACGGTTATTAGAAGTTATCAGTCCCATTCTGTGTGGAGACTGTCCCTCTGACTCCCAGTGTGCAAAAAACACTTGTTTTACAAAAAAGGATTTGATTGAATTTTATTATTTATTATTTTACTTTTTTGATTGGTTAAAATTATTATTTTTTGTTTGGAGAAAATAATTTTGTTTGGTTGAATAATAAAAAACAAAACTACCCACTGATCTGACGAT